GCTGTTGGCAAGAAAGTGCTGTTGGCAAGAAAGTGAAAAAAAAAACTCTACAGTCACGTTAACCGATGCCTCTGTGCCTGAACACGACGTCAGGACGGTGGTGCTCAACCACCGGCTCGTGTGACCCCACCTTCACTGTCGTCTTCTCCCGCTCTTTTGCAGATCTTCCATTACACCGGCGGCATGGCCTACGTGGACAACAAGGGTCCGTTCCGGGACAGGCTGGAGTTCGTGGGGAACCCCGGCCGCCGCGACGGCTCCATTCTCCTCAAGAACCTGGACTTCAGCGACAACGGCACCTTCACCTGCGACGCCAAGAACCCCCCAGACATCGTGGGCCGGCCCCAGTCCTCCCCCCTCAGGAGAGGTGATGAATGAAGCTCCTCACTCCGGTCCAAACTGGTTTAAATTCCGTGCACTTTCTGTTAAATGAAATCAATTACGCCCTAATCTGATTGGTCTGTTTCAGATAGTAATCAGTCGCCCCCCCCAAAAAACCCCTCCTCCTCCTCCTCCTCCTTTTCTTCGTCTTCCTCTGAGTTCTGTTTTCTCCTCATCATTTGTCTTCCTACCAAACCTCCCACTTCTCTCCTCCTCCTCCTCCATCTTAACAACTTTTAATTCCTCGGTCTGTTTGACCTCTGTTTGACCTCTGCTCTTCTTCTTCTCCTCCTCCTCCTCTTCCCTGACCTTCATCTGTGATTCTGACCTCTCCCCCTCAAAGACCAGACGTCTGAACGTCTGAACGTCAGTTTCACTGAAATATTCTGTCAAAATAAAATTCAAAAATAAAAAATAAAAAATTTAACCACGATATAAAGAAAAAACCCACCAGTCAGGACTGAACGTCAAAAAATCTAAAAATGCTTAAAAAAATAGCTAACAGTTAGCCCTTAGCTGTGCTAGCTAATAATGTGCTGTTATTAGTTACCTGATAGATTATGAACAGTTAATAATAAATACACAATTAACAGTTAGCCCACAGGTTGCTAACAGTTAGACCACAGGTTGCTAACAGTGAGCCCACAGGTTGCTAACAGTTAGACCACAGGTTGCTAACAGTTAGACCACAGGTTGCTAACAGTTAGACCACAGGTTGCTAACAGTTAGCCTACAGGTTGCTAACAGTGAGCCCACAGGTTGCTAACCGTTAGCCCTTAGCTGTGTTAGCTAATAATGTGCTATTAGTAGTTACCTGATAGATTATGAACAGTTAATAATAATAATAATACATGATTTACAATTAGCGATAGATTATGAACAGTTAATAATAAATACACAATTAACAGTTAGCCCACAGGTTGCTAACAGTTAGCCCACAGGTTGCTAACAGTTAGCCCACAGGTTGCTAACAGTTAGCCCACAGGTTGCTAACAGTTAGCCCACAGGTTGCTAACAGTTAGCCCACAGGTTGCTAACAGTTAGCCCACAGGTTGCTAACAGTTAGCCCACAGGTTGCTAACAGTTAGCCCACAGGTTGCTAACAGTTAGCCCACAGGTTGCTAACAGTTAGCCAAATAACTACCAACAGTTTTGCGTTTTCATCTGAAGTAATCCCTTGGATTATGTCGTAATCCAGAGACTCCTGAGTGCTGACCCCGGTCCAATCAGCTCTGACTCTGGAGCCCAGGTTTGACCCGTGGTCATGTGACCTTTAGACAAAGACTCCTGACCTCTTCCTCCTGCTGCTGCTGCTGCTGCTGCTGCTGCTGCTGCTGCTGCTGCTCTGTCCATGTGTCACTCATCTCTTCTCCTCCTTCTCCCCCCCCCACAACCCCCCCTCACAGTTCCTATCCAGGCTGGTGTGATCACGGGCGCCATCATCGGCGTGGTGCTGGGCCTCCTGGTGCTCATCGTGGTCATCTACTACCTGATGAGGTTCCTGGTCGCACGCCGCGTCTTCAGCCTCAGCGTCAGGTCAGTGCCCGGCCTGTGGCTCTGCCGGTTCACTCTGTGCCAGGGACTGGAGCTGAGGCCGGAGCCAATCCCTGGCACCGACACCTGCATGGCCCGGACCACGTGACTGCAGCGTCACCGTGTGGTCTGATTGGCTGTGCACGCTTTTTTTTATTTGTTTTAATTTAAGTTTTCAAACTTTTTTAGACGACGATTTAATTCCCTAAAACCGACTGCGTGACAGCAGGTGGCGTTGTCGTGACCTGAATCTGAGTGGGTAATCCACCAGATTACCGTGGCCCCCGTCATCCAGATTATACGGTGTCATGTGAGATGGTCAGGCTGCAGCACCGGGGGCCTGTGTTTGAGACCCGGTCCGAGATGAATTTGATGCCAGGCACTTCTGCCCTGTGACCACCGGGGGGAGATGGACTGGACATTCTGACATTGTCTTTCTTTTGTCCCCTCCAGCAAACATGGCAAGAAAAAGAAGGAGGGATCACAGCAGAGACAGGCAAGTTCCCTCCTCCTCCTCCTCCTCCTCCTCCTCCTCCTCCTCCTCCTCCCCCTCCTTCACCTCCACCTTCTCTCCTCACACACATCACATGACATAAACCCAACCACACAGTGGACAAGTCGTAGATACAGAATAGAACGATGTCGTCTGCGTAGAGTAGCATTAAATGGACAAGAACATATATATACACATATATATGTCTATATGTGTATATATATTTATATATGTGTATATATGTATATATATTTATATATGTGTTTATATGTATATATATATATTTAT